AGACCAAAATTAATGGTTGCACATTCCTGCTCAAAATGAAGTAGTTACAACAAGGCCTACTATGCCCCACTTAAATACTGTACCAGGTTTATTAACAAAAATGTAAAGGGAATATGCACACAGGTGACAAGTTGTACACTTAACCTCGTTATTTCACTACAAAGCATTGGATAAGTAAGATTAAAGACGTCAGTCTGCATGACAGAGTGGTATACAGTGGTATGAACGGCTTTTGAGTGTGGTTCTTAGTTGCTCGCACATCCTTATTATTTTCTTAGAAAAACTGCTCTTTTATCTCTAAAGGTACTCACTCGCTACATCCAAAGCCACTGAGCAGTGACTACAATGTACGAAGTGTTGACTCGAGTTGGCAAAGGTTTCCAGGAGCTCATTACCTGTTTTTGAGTGTAACTCCACATTTTAATATCGTGGTGGCAAGGATAAAATTTCAGATGCATGTACACAATGTGACACGTCAAATCTTCCCTAACCAATCAATGCACTGGACACCAATCAACTCGAACGAAAGTGCAATGGTACCAGTATACAAACAAGGTACAATTCGGGCAACAGACGCCATGATGGAAAGGTTGAAGTAGTTAATATGTGGGGTCGAGGCCATGCTGAAATCACACTCATACCTGCATGAAAATAAAATCAGAAAGGAAGCTAGTATACGTAGGAATGAATTACAACTCACTTGCATCTCAAATTCTCTTTCTTTTTCAACAATACTTATAGAGAATTTTGAGATGAATTCAGTCCATTTTACATAAAAGATTTTTAGTGTCTCTAACTGTCGTCTAGAGAAGTATGGATAGAAAATGAATTCTTGATAGTGTAGCTTAGAGAAAAACAAAACGAAATCAACAATTTATAGACCGAAAATGCAATTAGATCAGGCACACTAAGCAGTGTACGTGTTTTGTGTTACCGATTCCGTCCATGCATCCGCATAGCTATTCTGCTTTGTGACGATATGATTTTTTTTATTGTTTTGTTTGTTTTTGTTTTTCCTATAACACCATCTTAAATTTGTTACAGCTCCGAAGAAATGAATTGTCAAGAAACACAGCAGCAAGTTCAAGCGTAATGGAAAAACCGTGATTAGGCTTAGGAAGAACATAGTTTGATTTTTTCTATAAGAATAAAGAACTTAGAATTAAGACATTAACACTTGACGAATTTATCAGCAATTGCATACATCGCGATTATTATGTCAGCAATTGAATATATCGCGATCATTATGTTTAATCAGAGCCATAAATTACATATTATTTTTTTCTCAGTGTCTTTTTGGCCGGTCATTACAGGCGTCGTGAAACATCGTCATTGAGGGCGCTAGCATTAAAGGAAACCTAAAATCAGAAAACAGTCGTCTGCACTGAGAATTTACTGTGGTTTTTCGTATCGTACACGTCCGTACACAAGAAAAGTTATTTTTGTATTGGCAGGCTCGCCTACTTTGCTTTGATCAAAGTTACGTGCATTCGCAAAATCGTGTGCCTTTTCCTGTGATGAGGTGAGTGTTTCAATTCCGAACTAATTTTGCCATTGATGAAAAATATGCCTGCGCCGAATGGTTGGGGTATTCCAGTTTCCAAGTTTTGTCTACAAACACGAACAATCTGTTTTCATTCAGTAGACTTTCTGATGTGTTTGTGTAGCACTAGCAGAGGTGCTAGAGCTGTGCATGTACGTTGGAAGTGCCGTACCTATCATGCCTATGCTATACCATGGAGGAAGGCTATACGTACTGTACATGTACATTTATGTTCATTCGTCAACTTCAAGTCTGCAAGCACTTTGCCTTTCGTGACAGAGAAGGTAATAAATGTAGTGCTATTGTACGTGTGAGGGTTTAACTTTAAGAGGTAAGGAATTTGTGTGCAGTATGACAACAGGTGTTAGGCCTAATGAGAGTAGTTATCAATTTATATCATTGGGCCAGATATACACCTGTGTGGGCCAGATGAGGAATCTTTGAAACCTGAGGATCAGGTGGCTGATGATGCGTAGGAAAATTGTGCAGAACATGCAGTTGTATCTTGTTGTACTCGGGAAGATTGTGTCTCTCTACAGTACATGCAGGCTGCAAAATTGTGTGGAATTGCTTGAAAATGTTGCTAACAGTATCCTTTTCCCACCCTAATTCCTTGGGATGTGACCATGGAGAAATACATGTTGATGGTCTCGTAGAAGTGAGAGGTTTCATACACATTATGAATAATTTGTTCTTTTCTTCACCTACAGTACATGTACATGTACATACAGTATACCCGGTACATGTGCATGATAAATGTCTTACTCTCGAACAAAGCTCAAAAATATAAGAAAAAATCATTAATAGGCCTACACACACATATTCAGGTTGGACAAAGCCAGCGTGTAACCTACACATTGTTTAGAAATCTGTCACTTTGTGGAATAATCTGAAGAATTCTAAATGTATTTTGAGTATTCATACATTTAGACTTCAATTTCAATGAGAGTGCGGATAGACAACCTAAAATAACACGCATTGTCTGGCTGAGTGCCATACACTGTGCATGTACATGTACAGCCTACTGGTACTCATATGTCCTTGTCATATTCACTTTGGCCGTAAAGATCACCATGGTGACTGATTTCCTTGATGGTTGTGTACAGCTATTTGTGAGGATGTGGTACATGTAGATCAAGGTTGTGTCATGCATTCAGGAAAATAAATTAGAGTCAATATTAAATATATGTACATGCACACGTTATGCAGAGAAAACATGCAGTGATACTTTTGATATTGTCTAGACCTATACACATGTGTGCTTCCTGTGCATGATACCAGTGTACATGTATAAATTGGGGATTTACAAAAAGTGGGGTAAAATAAAAGCCATTTTAGCAAAATATTTTCTTGGCCCTCAACATTGGTAGTGTTTCATTTATTATTGTTAAATCCTTCCTTGAACAAAACAGGACATTTATTTTGGTTAAATTCCAATTTAAATACATGCATGTGTGAGTTGAGTGCTTGTTGACCTACGATGCATGCATCCCTTGACAAGGAAAAAAAAGTACTCACAAAAATTATTGAATATTTGGAATTATTTGTGTTCATTTACTTCAAATCACCTGTAAAAAAGGCCTTTTTGAGATTTCTAGCATAAAATGTTTGACCTAAAAGAGAATTTGATTTCCAAAAATTTACCTCTCACTTCTGAAAGTAAAGAGTACTGGAACATGTACACATGTACATGTCTGTACCTTTATGTTGAGCTGTTTCACTTGTAATTCAATTATTTGTGGCAGTACTGAATTTTGAACAAAAAAACGAAATAGCAGTTAAGAATTTTTAAAAGCTAAACTGTACATGTATGTATGTAATAATTGTAGTTTGCAAACAAAATGTAACTTAATTAAACTTTTACTGACATTAATAACTATCTGGCAAGCCCAAGTGAATCTCCAAGAGAACCCATCAACTGTCGGAAGGTAATTTCTCACAACGTTATACACTCTCATTCTGACGTCAGAATGATAAAACTATCAAATTTTAAGTTCTTAATAGGCTAGAATGATGTTCCGGCGATATTTAAGACCTACATGTACTGTACCATATTGAAAAAAAAAATTTTAAAAACACTTTGCCCAGCCTAAATTTCTCTTAAAAAGTGCTGAGTCATGGTGAATTGCACTTTATTGCATTGTGGTCACATGGTACACTTTCCTCATTCTTGGTATATACATGTACACATTGCACGTGTAAGCAATGTCATCTGTTATTTACTAATTGAGGTATGAAATCTGCATAAATTTAGGTCCCAGGCCTGATTTCCAAAGACCTGGGTCAAGTATAGATGTGGTGTTTTGGTACATAGTTTTGTACACACATGAGATATTGCCTTTGAAGTACATGTACAATGTACATATACGTGGTGGTGAACGTGCACTGTCCCTCCTTTGAATAAACAAGCCCAAAGATTCCTGCTAAGGTTTTGTGGTCAGTAGCCGGGGGCATATGGCCTCTAGCATTACATCCAAGGCTGTACAAGAACATATCGATTCATGCAATCTACACATGTGCTCTTTAGAAACTAAATCATAGTTTGTGAAGTAATTGTTACTGGTTGTTCCCCTCATGACGGTTCTATTTGCGAAGAGAACCAAATCTACTACAAACTCAGGGGTTTTTTTGAGTACTGAGTTCAAAATCAACAAAAACTGAGCTCTGATGAAGTGAAATGTTCCCAACAGATAAACTTTTCGATGAGTGAGATCTATACTCAAGTGGCAACTGAAGAGATTGTGTTTTGGCAGTGTACATGTACGTCAACATGTACATGTATGAAATTGAAAACACCCAATGCTGATGCTGATGCAAAGAACATTAGGAATTGGTACAAACAGGGAGTAAAATTCAGCCATTATGTCTTTTGCTGTCAAGTTCAAAAGTAAGAGATTCAAGGAGCATAAGCCCAATCTTAACATCTTTCTGGATATCTGCACAAGTATACTGTACATGTGCAGCTTTCCATCTCCCGGATTGTAGAGACAACTGTACCACAATCCATCACAGAGATACTTGTAGCTGCAAAACAGACTGCAGTTGTGTCCATTTAAACTTACGAATGTCACAAAAATAAGGTTCCGGAAAAAGAAGTTCAGTTTTTATTAGAAAGAAACAAAAGAGGAGTGAAGAGAGAAAAATATAAGACCAACTAATGATTCAGGAAACAACTCCAAAAGGAACCTGAGATCATGCCATCTACATACATGTTCAGTACATGTACTTCATATCAAACAGGCTT